CACCCTCAGGTCAAAGGTTCAGCTGAGACAGACAGATGTATGGCAGGAGAGGGTGGTGCCACAGCTGGCTTAAAGGAGCTAAAGTCTATATGACTGTCAATTTCTCACATAAAGAATTCCTGGTAAACTCCTACTCAACATTTCACTTGGATATAATAGAGAAGCAATAAGCAAGAAAAGTTGTCACAATTTCCATTTCATGCTGACTTTCGTATAGAACTCAACTGATGCATGGTCACAGGTATACTCATCCAATCAGATTTTAAAGCCAGAATTGCTTTAAAGCCAGAATATAGAAGTTAACAGAATGAATAGATGCTTCTGTTTTGTGACATTCATTATGGAGAGAGAACCCAGTTGCCAAACAATTTGTCCTTTACTTTGAAATAAGATTTAATTCTCTTTGCTGTTTTTGGAATAGATATCCACATAATATTCCACATAATAATTTAGCTAAGAGTATTTGACATTTTTGTCTACCTTGTACATATTTTAACATCTAAGACTTTTTGTACCAGAATTACACTGTTAAGACTTTTTATTGTATTTTTGCGGTAAATTACTGGCAGCACTATTGCCAGTAAGTTACTGTAACTACCCCTTTACAGTAGCTTATCCAATTTCATTTTACAGTATGATGGCCTTACTGCAATTTCATTTTACATCAAAATACCCTTACCGCAACTTAATTTTACAGTACTATATCCTTACCGTAACTTAGTTTTACAGTATAATACTATCAAAGTAATTTTACTGTAATTTATTTTATAAAATCTTTTGAATATTTTACATGAATGCCATTGAATTGAATAAATTCCAAATAAAAGACTTGAGTCCACGTACAACAGTATATGTTTTTATTCACTGTCACTATTACTTTTTTATTTATTGTGCTTTATTCTAGAACATTGCAAAAAAAAGTAGAGAACTGAATTTATAACAAACCAAAGCAGAGACCATGACAATAGTGCAACAAAAAGAAAAATGGCAACAAGCATCCCAGTTGGTCTTGGCTGCATGGCCTCCATGACAGCTGATCTGAAACAAAACAGAGGGGAAATGTGTGAGAAATGGTCATGAGTTTATCTCATCTATATTTGTTCATGGACAGACAAGGTAACAACTTGTGCAACAGCAGTTATTCCTAGTATAGTACTGTTTAAACAGTATTGCTTTTTTGCACATCCTTGTCAGGGAACTCCATTAATTGCCTGAATGTACAATCACATTAAAGGTACACTGAATAACTTTATGGTCCTTCAAACCTACACTTTTTTTTGTGGCTGTTTTAAAGTATCTTTTATTTGTGACAGCTCTTGATCCAAGGAATATCAGTGTGTATCAGCTACTGTAACAACATTTGTATTGTTTGTAAATATTAGAGCAAAACAGGCTTTTGAGTCAATCTAGAAGTACTCTTGAAGAATAGGACTATAACCGAAATGAATACTAAATCAAGGTACATTAATGGCTGTCATCAAATTCTCAGAAATATTTCCAAATGAATCAATCCAATTAAACCATATGGAAACTGGAATCAGAATAAGAGAATAAGAATAATTGTGAATCAAACTGAACTGAATCAAGATCAGAACTGAATTAAGAGCTTGTGAATCAAATGGAATTATGAAATCTCTATCAATCCCCAGCCCAACATCTGAGTGATCATTTATATAAAAACAAAATAAAATAAAAAAAACCCTACAAAGCCAAAGGTGCCGTGATTCTAGGTGGCCCCTAATAGAGTCTTTGGGGTGTAGTTGGCTCTTGCTGACACACAAGAAAAAGGGAGGAAAAGAGGAAACATCACTGAATATTGCATATCACAGGTGTGGGATGTTTTATCATGTATGTATGTATGTATGTATATACTGTATATATATATATATATATATATATGGCAGTAAAAAAGTCGAAAAACGTTGTTCGTGTAAATACTAGATTGGGTTATACTTAGATAGTTATACTTAGATAGTCAGTCAGTTAGGACAATTGAATGAGTTTCATGAAAGCAGCAGTTTTTGAGGAAAACGAACAGTTCCATCAAACTGTCCAAGTAATAGCCTATAATTAGATTATATATTTACTTTCTTCATATTTTTAAATTTCATAGATATTGGTAATGGTTTACGTTTTAAAAGTAAGTAAAAAAGTACTCACCACAGGAAAACTCGCAGCGGACATCTGGCGATTCACTCAGAAGGGACGTCCGTTATGCGCGCACCGGACACAAGCCTCAGTTTATATAACCTCTGGCAGGTTGTTGCGCGGGCTTTGCACGCGAATAAAATGTAAATTTTGTGGGATGTAAGCAAAGTTTATATATTTTATTTTTTAATCATTAAAAAAAAAAATATATTTCACCACACTTGTGCTTACCCAGACATTCAATTTAGAATGCAGATTCATGTTTTTCATCCGCAGAACAATTTACGGTAGCACTACTGCTTTTGAGCAAACAGTAAAGTACAGCAAATTCCCATATACAGTAAATTACTGTAAATGGCATAAAATTACCCACAATGCAGTGCATATTACAGTAGTTAACTGTAAAACATATATATGGTAATTTACTGGGCTTTTTTTGCGATAAGAAACTGTAAAATTACAGCAAAGTCTAACAGTGTAGGTGGGCAATGACTGCACTCTATGTCTTACACAATTTTGGTGAGCTAAATCAAAATGATTTTCACTGACAATTCAAGTTAATGCTAGCCATTATGTTGCATGTCAGTAGGACAGTGCGGATAATGATTCAATTCTACTTACATTCTCCATAATTTAACAAAGGCTACATTTAATTAGTCCTGACAAGCACCATCTTTTATGAGACAGCATCATGGACTTATTCCTGACCGTGAAGAAGGACAGAGTTAGTGTGCAACAATGTAAGAAACATGTCTTCGCGTTTTGCTTGCACAATTTCACCTACCCACAACATTTCTACTGATGTGGCACATAGCACTCCTAAAAGAGTGTACCCATGACATCAATAATGAAATGTCAATCAAGTGTATATTGTACTGTATGTACACCCTCACATCTAAGATGAAACTGTCAACTTCCAAACAACCCTCTTTTGAGAAGATTACCCTTATCAAAATGCAGCAACGGCCCCTGATGTTTGCTGGTCCTCTGAAATTGGGATTGAGAAAAGAACCCCTGCTGAGCCCTCAGTGTGCTTTTGCTGTCAGATGTGACCGGCACCAAGGTGAATGTGAAGAGCTCTTATGTTCCTGTTCTATTAGAGAGCTCTAACATATTCTCCACAACTCATATTGGAATAAGCCAGCTGCCCACTTACCCCCTCGAAACAGCTCAACTGTGGCAGGGGATGTCGCACCTACTGACTGCTTTTGCTGAAATTTTGCCTCTATGCAACTGTGGTTTGAGGGCTCACACTTAACCTAGTGTGCCACTTATCAACTGTTCCACATTTTTTCAGTGATTAACACAATCAATCGACAAGCAAAGCAACATGATGCATGTGATGCACTGTGTGTCAGTGGGTGAACTTTATCAGCACCACCAGCTCTGCTCCCTACTGATTTAACAGCCCTATCAGTTCCCTTCTCAAACTCTGGGAACAACCAGTAGTTTGGGGTTTGTCAATGACACTTGGTGACACAGGATCTCATGGGCTCAGGAGTGACCAATGAGCTTCTCACCACCAATTTACCCTGGAGAACCACAGGCAACAAATCATTTCCAACAAATCATTTCTAACACATTTCGGTTCTCTCTCGTCTGTTTTTCCTCTGCAGATGCAAAAGCACATACATTAGCAAAACGGAGACTGTTGCCCATGGTGACCATTTACATTCACAAGGTCACAGACACGGTCACGCACCAACCCTTGCTTTTCAAATTATTATTTAAATTAGGTGATACTAAATCCATGGATAATCTCCAGCTTTAACCAAGGTGGTTTTCTAGACATGCTCAGCTATTCTTGCTTTCTATATGTAATGTGACCTTGAACAGTTGAAAAGCTTGTAGTTACCGGCAGCACTTGAATATAGCCTTTCTCAGTTATTTACAGTGTTAAATGTACACAACCACACTCTAAAACATGCTGGGTTAAATACAACCCAGTGCTGGGTAAAATAGGGACGAACCCAGCAATTGGGTTGTTTTGACCCAGCAGTTGGGTTACTACCCAGAAGGTTGTGTTAAACATTTAACCCAACCGCTGGGTCAAAACAGCCCAATTTCTGGGTTTGTCCCTATTTTACCCAGCACTGGGTTGAATTTAACCCAGCATTTTTTAGAGTGCACAGTTTCTATGAAATGAATTTCAGAATTTCTGAGCGATGGAAATATATTATAATTGACCCTTCTCTAAGTGCCACTCACCCTCCAAGACATCCCATAGGAAAGAACAGGAGATTTCTTTGAACAGTATGATTTTCAGAAAAAATATACCCATAAAGATTGAAATTTACATTTACATTTAGACATTTAGCAGACGCTTTTATCCAAAGTGACTTACAAATGAGGACAATGGAAGCAATCAAAATCAACAAAAGAGCAAGGATATACAAGTGCTATAACAAGTCTCAGTTAGCTTAATGCAGTACACATAGCAAGGTTTTTTTTTAAATTCTACACTCTAAAAAATGCTGGGTTAAATACAACCCAACGCTGGGTAAAATAGGGACAAACCCAGCAATTGGGTTGTTTTGACCAAGCGGTTGGGTTACTACCCAGAAGGTTGGGTTAAACATTTAACCCAACCACTGGGTCAAAACAACCCAATTGCTGGATTTGTCCCTATTTTACCCAGCACTGGGTTGTATTTAACCCAGCATTTTTAAGAGTGTATAATAAATAAAAAGGAAACAGATAGAATAGAAAAAGAATAGAGCAAGCTAGTGTTAGAGGCCTTTTTTGCTTTTGTTAATTCTATAATAAATAAAAAGAAAACAAATAGAATACAAAAATATTAGAAAAGCTAGTGGTTTTTTGTAAGAAAACAAGCAGTTAGTAAATGAATAGAGTTTTTTTTAAAGAATAGAATTAGAATATATATTGCTAGAGTTAGAGGGTCAAATAATGATGTAAGAGATGTGTTTTTAGCCGATCCTTGAAGATGGCTAAGGACTCAGCTGCTCGGACTGAGTTGGGCAATTCATTCCACCAGGAGGGAACATTTAATTTAAAAGTCCGTGAAAGTTATTTTGTGCCTCTTTGGGATGGCACAATAAAGCAACATTCACTTGCAGAACGCAAATATTTATAAATATAAATATAAATATTTACTAGATATTTTTTTATGTATGCTGGAATAAACTGTGACATTAGAACAAATTTTTTATCTGTTACTTTCTTTAAATAATTAAATTATGCAGTAACATTGACTTGACTTGAATCAATGTCAATAAAATAAGACCTTACATTACCTTGCAGCAAATTGGGTCATGACACAGTTTACCTCATCGCATGAACTTCTTAAGATTTATTTAAAGATTTGGAAAAGGAACAAAATACTACCCAGTAACATCTTTGTTAAGGAGCGAATGGTCAATTCTGATGATAAGAAGCAGATGGAGACTGGGAAGAAAGAGACAAAGAATAGGCATGGTAACCAACGGAGATCATTGAAACATTACTGCATCTGGTCATCTAATCTGGCTGTTTAGTGTAGCACAGTGACAGCCCTGATCCTCAATTAGGGCTACAGATAACTATAACAATGAAGCACTCAAGTAACTCTGGGTAATGGGATTATGGTTTGCTTTCTTGGTGGTAATCTCTGTCCACTACTGTGGGAGGGGGCCTGTAAATTGAAACAGCAGACCTCTTTATTGAGTTATTAAAGCTGTTTTGTTCATAAACATCTTGTATCAAGACACATATTTGCTTGAATTTACACTTCCACTCATTGCAATATATTCAGATTCTTATGATCTGGATTGGTACAAAAAAGCATCAGCTAAGAAGGCTAATAAAAAAATCTATTTTGACACACTGCACCTGGTGTTTATAATGTATTTAGCTACTTGTGATGTTGAATTAAATAGTTCAAAGTGCATGTGGTTATGACAAAACAATGCCATGCACTCTAGAAATGTCTAATATAACATCTAGCAAAGTTATACACTCAAAATCTAAATTGATGAAAAATTGTTCAAAAATTGTTCTATTGACTCAATTAATTTAAGTTGTTAAAACAAGACTAGGGCTGTTCGATTCTGAAATTTTTGGAATTGAGTCCGATTCCGATTCCTGGTTCTGGAATCGATGGCATTCGATTCTAAGAATCGATTCCTCACCATGGTTTTCGATTCTTTTTCGATCCTTGTTTTTTAGATTGAAGGAACCTAATCTCACCATGACTGCAGGATATAAAGGTCGCAGAAAGTAGCCTTCTCATAATATAAAGCTTTTTTTGTAACAATGACAATATATTTCTATAGCTCTGATTGATTTTTTAATTTTGTCTGCATTGCCCATTAAATTAGTCGTAGCCCACAGCTCAGCAGGGACATGTGTTTATCGCATGAATGGAACAAGACATGAAGTGTCTAAAATAAATGTGCACAGTTAAGCTGAATGATGAAGTTTACTTTAACTGTATACTTTGCACAAAATTAACAAACTGTACACTGAAACAAAATAACCAGAACATTAACAACAACACTGATATAAGAGCTCGTGGTTTATCTGTCAATCTGATGCGCTCTTGCCACTGATCTGTGCTCTCGGTGTATTCTTTCAGAAATATCATTGGCCGATAGAAATATAAAAAAAATAGCATTTTATTTAAGATGGAAATAAGATCAAGACCGTCGATCACGTCATGATCTATTCTGTCATGTAGGGCTCAAAACTGTGGAAAACGTAAGCCAGTTCCACCATAAAATAACCTCAGAATAATTAAAACTCATTAAAACTATTTATCCGAAAGAACCTTTTTGTGGAAACGAATCAGACTTCTAATCACTTTTAGCGAGCATGAGCTGAATTAATGGCTGCTTCTCAAACGGAAGGCTGCATCCTCAAACTCAGATGAGCATACTGACTCGTTTTCTTTCAGTTTATTTTCGTGAATTTAAGTGTGTGCAGCCTCGTGGTTAGTGCGTCGACATATAGCGCAACTGCGCTCACAGCGACCCAAGTTCGAATCCCGCTTCAAGGTTCTTTGCTGATCCTGCTCCCCTCTCTCCACCCCAATACTTTCCTGTCATCTCTCCACTGTCCTCTCAAAATAAAAAGTCCATAAATATAGCTTTAAAAAAATGTGTGCAGCCTTCCATTTGAAAGGCACAATAAGCTTTGTTGAACTGAAAAGGGCTCTGATTCCACATTTGTATGGAATAGATTCCAACCTTTGGAATCGACTCTCGATTCCCAAGGCCTCTGAATCTATTCTTTTTGGAATATATTCTTCTTTTTTTCTTTTTTCCCCAGCCCTAACTAGAAGAAGTCTATTCAAACAAATTATTGTGTGGTTGAAATCAAACTGAATGCAATAGCATGTTTGCATGCAATATATAAAACTTTATTTTACTAAATGTAATGTATGGAACAAACAAGAGGTGACTTTTCACTGCACTGGCATTAGCCAAACTATTGCTGTCTGCCCAAAACCTCAGCACAACTCTTCTGCTCAATGGTAATCACACACAAATGCCAACATAACAGACACTCTAATAAATCTAAAGTATAACTTCACATTGCACACTAACAAGTATCCATTTTTACTCAAATAATACATAAAAGTACATTTTAACATGTATTATTCTAATGCAGTTACATGCAGAGCATGTTGGTAACTAGGAATCTGCTGTCCAGTTTAAATTGTTAGTATAAATTGAACAAGCAACAAAAATCATTTTTGAGTGCAGACTCCTGTAAGAATAGTTTTTGATGTATATTCAAAATATATTGTTATACGTTCAAAATTGCAGTGTAAGAAAAAAAGAAACAATGTCAGCATTTAGTTTGAATTTTGTGATTTCGGCTAGAACCTCAACCATGTTTTCTGTGCTTTCCAGAGTAGATATGTGCGATGCCACATGGTTTGGTATTTTGTTATGCAATAAAATCCAAACATTTTAAAGTGTGGCTAAAGTTTCCAAATTCATCTACACTGATCTGCTTACATGGCATTTCAATGACCATTTTAAGAGTGACAGATTTTGAATTACCATCAGTTAAAATGATTAAAGTTAAACATAGTGAATGGCTAAATACACTTCAACTTATATCAACCATGAAGATTTATGAGGTTTGTTATGCTCCACTAGCTTTCATACCCATGTATGGATTTTCAGAACAAATACCAAACTAATACTGAAAGCGGCAACAAAATTACTGCAGTAATATCACTCCAGCATACCATCATATCTGGTAAAATCATACAAAATCTAGTTTTACAGAAAATAATCTAAATAAATGATGCCAAAACCAGGAAAACAACACATCCACCAAAAAAACAAAACAAAACAAAAAAACTCTTACCTTTCGCTTTGACCGTTCAGACTTCTTGGACATATTTTTCATTTTTTTATGAAGATGGTACAATACCTGCAATTCAAAGAAAATGTCACATTAATGCCTAAAAGTGTATGCCATTACTCATCCACCATTAATGATGAAAAAGCAGTGAGTGATGGCAGACTTTGTGTGGCTAGTGTTCTGGAGAGAAATGACAATGATAAACTATAGGATATTAAAGAATTTCAGGAAGTCATTCCAGCACTGCAGGGACACATTTATCATCATGGTCCTGTCCAACATTTACGCAAAATAAATACATTGATACACAGAGTAAACACTCTAACTCACATTAAACATAATAAAAGTAGTCCATGTTTTGTGGCAGTCACCTAAAATTGATAAATAAAAGCCACTTGTAAAGTAAATGTTCAAAAACAGCATAAAATCTGTTGAAAGGTACAGCTTTGATGCATGGTTGACTACCCAAAGTAAAACAAATCTCTTATCTAAAAAAAAAAAGTATATTGCAGTCATAAACTACAATTTGTTACTTGCTACTCTGTTGCAAAGGAACATTCTTATATATAAAAAAAGAAAATCTGATTGAACAGTTCAATAGAACAATAGTTTGAAATGAATCATAAAAATTTCTGGTCCAAAAGACATAGACTGTAAATTTATCAGCATAACAGTTAATTTGATTAACATATAGGAACATAAAGGACTTTGTGTTGAAGTAAATGAATCAGAAAAAACAAATGTAATTTCTACATTAAATAATTTAGTTCAGGCAAGAATAAAAAAAGAGTTTTGTCAGCCAGAAATCCTCATCTAAGGCCTACCACATTATATTTATAGATAGTTAAGTCACACTTAAAAACACATGAATGTCACTGCATTAGATAACAAAAAATGATTTAGACACGTATCAAGTGTAGCAGAACATGTGCAGTAGTTCCTCACAATAACTGCAGAGTAGATATGTGCGATGCCACATGGTTTGGTATTTTGTTATGCAATAAAATCCAAACATTTTAAAGTGTGGCTGACAAAGATTGTTTAAGTAAATATCAAAGTCATGATTCCATTGTTCCCATCATGCACTTGGGTAAGAATAATTAATAAGGTAAAATTATTTGCTGTTTTCGAGATGTATTTACACTGTTTTATGGTTGCTTTTGTTGTTAGGTTAAGGCAGTGGTTCTCAAACTTTTTACAGCGGCATACCTCCTGGGGCATTTAACATTCTTCTGCGTTCCCCCTCTCTTCCACTTAGACCAGTCACACCTTTTCTATTAAAGGACATTATTTGCCCCCTTAAACTGATTTACAGGTGCATTTTTTTTACCTTTATAGAGGCAAAGATTTTCTATCTTTATTAATTGTATGTTACGTTTTATGTCATATTCTTAACATTTCATTAAGTGTATTATTAATATAATAAATAAAGCAATAAATGATGACAAATCGAAGTGATACTTGTAATTTTAAAAATAAAACCGTCAATAGTTGTCGGCAAGTTGTCACCATTCATTCATTCATTCATTAATTCATTCAGTAACGAAGC